AGGCACTTCACAAACACCTCCTCGCGTGTGGCTTATTCAAACCAGCTTGCACTGCGCCGCAGAGCTCCCAGGCGGTTGGTGTGTCCAGCCGTGCCGGGAACAGCATCTCCCCATCTGCATCTGGGCTGCTTGGCGCAAATGTTTTCCTTGTGGGATAGAGCTGGTTTTAGGAGCCCAGGCTGCAGGGCTCAGCCCCTCTGCTCAGCCATGCCACAAAGCAGGGATGCAGTGCCTTGCTGACTGTCCCCCTCCTGCTGTTCTGCAATTGTTCAAGGCAGTGTGACAGGTTGCACTCCCCCCGCCTGGACAGTTCCTTTTATGTTAGGCTGGGGCCAAACCCACCTGCTTGGGAGCCTTGGCATCTCCTGCATCATCACACAGCACCCAATGGATGCTGTTCTTTTCCCTTGATCCTGGTGGTGAAGGTCCCCAGGCAGCAGAGATGCCCCACTCCCGCAGCCGCATTCACAGAGCAGTGCTGGCCATGTTTGCATGGTGATGCTGGTGGTGTTCCCAGGGCAACACTGGCAGTGTTCACAGGGTGATGCTGGTAGTGTCTAGAGGGTGATGCTGACCACGCTTGCAGGGCAGTGCTGGCAGTTTGCAGGGCAATGCTGGCTATTTCTGCAGGGCAACGCTTTTGCTGTTCGCCTGTGAGTTAGGGCTTGTGCCTGGAGAGACACAGGAAAGAGAACATCCCAGCCCTGCCTGCTGCTGCTCACCAGGAGAGATTTACTGTGATCCCAGTGGCCCCGGCTGCCCGCACCACTCTATAATAAACCCATCAAGGGCATTGTCGTGCTGCACAAGTCCAACAGGTGCCCTCACGGGGCTGACACACTGGCCTGCTCCCACACAATGCCTCACTCTCCAAAGCTGAATGTGTCTGGCTGGACAAAGGCAGCCTGGCCTCCCAGCACGAGCTGAGCTGGCCAGGCATGACAGATGCAGGCAGCCCGTCCTGTGCAAGATCTCTGGGGGACACTGAGAAGCTGAAAGTTATGGACGCTCTGCTCCCAGCACATCTCTAGCTGGGTCTTGTGGTCACTGCTCCTGAACCAGGTGCGTTTTAGTAGTGTTGCAGCAGAATTCAAAGCACAGCCCCACTGCAAGGGGAGACAGATCCTGCTGTTGGAAATGCTCCCTAGCAGGGAAGTTGGACCTGGCACTGTGCATGCGTGCTTGTGCTGGGTTTGTGTGGCAAAGCTTTGGTAGTGAGGGGTCTTCTGTGAAATACTGCTAGAAGCTTCCTCCATGTACAATGGAGCCAGTGACAGTCAGCTCCAAGATGGATCAACCACTGGCCAAGGCTGAGCCCATCACCAACAGCAGTAGCAGCTCTGGGATAATGTATTTCAGAAAGGGGAAAAGTTGCTTCACAACACCAGCAGCAGCTGGGGAGAAGACAGAGAAAATGGGAGAGGAAGAACTCTGCAGAAACCCAGGACAGTGAAAGAGGAAGGGGAGGAGGTGTTACGGGCACCTGTTCCACATTTCCCTACAGCCTGTGGTGAAGAGCAGGTTGAGGCAGGGTGTGCCCCTGCAGCCCATGGAGGACCACAGTGAAGCAAAGATTCCTCTGCAGCCTGTGGAGAACCCCATGCCAGAGCAGGGGGATGCCCACGGGAGGAGTGTGAGAAGTCCATGCTCTGAGGAAGAAGAAGCAGCAAAGTGTGATGAACTGACCACAGCTCCCATTCCCTGTCCCCTTGTGCCACTGGTAGGGAGGAGGTAAAGAAAATTGGGAGTGAAGTTGAGCCCAGGAAGAAAAGAGGTATGGCTGGAAGGTGTTTTTAAGATTTGGTTTTATTCTTCATTATCCTACTCTGATTTGCTTAGTAATAAATTAAACTAATTTCCCCAAGTCAAGTCTGTTTTGCCCGTGTTGGAAACTAGTGAATGATCTCTTCCTGCCCTTATCTCGACCCATGAGCCTTTAATTATATTTTCTCACCCCTGTCCAGCTGAGGAGGGAAGGGACAGAGTGGCTTTGGAGGGCACCTGGCATCCAGTCAGTGCCAACCCACCAGATCCCTATTGCCTGTGTTTTAAACACTTCTGCTCCTCAGCAGTGCCTGATCCTACCCTGAGAAGGGCTGAGCACTGCTGTGGACAGGTGACAGCCACAGCACTGCTTCGAAGCACAGCACAAATGCCATAGCAAGCATGGACCAGGATGTGCTGCCTCCTGTTCACATGCCTAGGTGTGGGGTGCAGCACACTGCCTGGAAGCCCAGGCATGCTGGAAGGTGCTATTGGCCACCAGTGGCACTGAAAGGGACACAGAGACAGCCGAGCCTGTGGGAGAGTTAACGGGGGTGAGCTGTGACCCATCCTGTGTGGGTGGAAGTGCCTGGATGCTGCCCTGGGGGGCTTGGCTTAAAACTGGCAGCAATTTTTTGTTTGAAGGTTTGTAGCTGCTTCGCATCTCTTTGCACGACAGGTCTGGCGCGTACCCTGGAATCCTTCCCCGGATCTTCCCATGAAAACTCCTACAAAAAAAGCTTCTGCTTCATTTTAACCAAACCCAGAGCCCATCAGACAATCCAGATGGTCTCTCTCTCTCTATCAAGCAGTTTGGCCCAAATCCCGGTGGCAGACGGCAGGACCAGGCCTCCCCTGATAAAGAAGTTTGGGGTTTATTTTTCTCTCTGCTCCTCATCCATATTCAGAGGCACCCTGGGCTTTTCCCAGGCAGCTGTTGCTCTCCGAGGCCCACCCCATCAGGGTGCCTGGGTGATCTGGGATCACCCTAACACACCAGGAGCTGAGGTGTGGGAGGAGGGTCTTGGTGCACAGCCTGTGCCCCCACTCTGCTGTCCTGGCTCGCTCAGCCATTGTCATGTTGGCAGCTCTGCAAGGGGGTTGCTTTTGTAATGGAGCAGCTGCCAAGGGTTCGGCCGTGTCTGGCAGCCCAGCTCAGTGGGATGCCCCGTGGTCCCAGGTCATGGGGTGCTGGCTGCGTAGCAGGCGGAGGCAAAAGCTGCCACAGGATAGCAGGAGTTGAGGTGCCCACAGGAGAAAATGTGGATGCTGGCCTGAAATGGGGTTCTCATCCCCCCAGCCCTATACACCTGGAAGCAGGGTAGGTGATGGTGGGCTCCAGGCCACCCCCTGTGCCAAGACCATGGCCCCGGCTGTAATTGACTGTGTGTTGCTGCAGCTGGGCACAGAGATGGAGGGAGCCTGTTTTTCTGCAGATCACAAGGATTTGCCTGAGGCAAGTGCATGCAGAAGGGAGGAAACAAGATCTCTTGTTCCTTCCCGCAGGCATCAGAGGTAAAGGGCAGGTTAGGAAGACCCGGTTCTGCTCCGCTGGCCAAGGGGTGAGGGGAAGTTTGGGAGGAAGGAGGATCATAAGCATCACACTGGTAGTGGCCAGCTTTGGGGAACACTGAGCCACTCAGAAACAACCTTCATGCCCCAAAATTCAGCTGAGATATTTAGTACAGGGCCTCTTTATGTGCCATTGCCACCAGGGTATCCCTGGGAGCCCCAGGACAGGCTGCAGGGCCACCTCTACAAAAGCTGTGCCAGCAAAGGGTCGGGTCCCAGAGTCCTGGGAAGCAGCTCATCTTCCTCGCTGTCAGGGCTGCTGGGTAGCAACGGGGAACAAACCCCTTTCATCCATCTCAGGCACAGCTTCCTCCCGGGATTGGGGCCAGAGGAAGGAGATGTCACGAAAATGCAGACAGATGATGGGAGCCAGCATTCGGGATGGGAAAGGGCTGCTCATCTGGGCCAAGCTGCTGCAACCCTGTGTGTGTGTGAGGTGGCCCTCACTAGAGCAGGACCCCATGCAGACACCTCCCTCTCGCCCTGATTAAGGAGCTTGTGGAGCTCCATATGCAGAAGGCGTTGATTTGAGGCACTCCTCCTCCTAGGATCTGCCACCATCCCTGTAAATATCCTGCTGAGTGGGGAAATGGGTGTGCAGCGTGGTGTCCATGCTCACACACCTCTCCTCCCGCTGTGGTGCAGTGCAATAGGCTCCCACCTACCCTCCTTTCATGGGTTTCCTTGCTGAGAAGGACACTTGTGGCAGTTGCTGCCAGCACCCAGGGCTCTGCAGAGCACTTCAAAATGCCTGTTGTTTTTTTTAAGGACTCAGCTCTTGGAGCCATGGGGTTATGAGTGTTTCAGGTGCTACTTATAAAACAGGTGACCAGCTCTCCTGATTACACCCTCTCGCTTTACACTTGCAGACCTCGGGGAAGAAAATGGAAGGTAATAAAATGAATACAATGCTCACATTTCTGAGAACACAGCTAATGCCACAGATGGGACTTCAAGATTTGCTGTCTGTGTGTGGGGCAAAGAGCAAAGCAGCAAAGCCTCCCAAGTTCCCTCTGTTGTGCTGGGTTGCTCCACCACACGATTCCCACGCACATACCAGGTACCATCCTGGCTAAGGAGAGCCAGCCTGCCGTGCAGTCCCCGCGGGCTGCCGGGTACCCGCGCCTCACCTGGTCTCTGTGGATGACGGGACGGGGCTTCGGGCTGCCGGGTGGGAGACAGGACAAGCCTCCCTGGAGCACACCAGGGGACGCGAAAGCTTTTGGCACCCCCCGAGGAGAGGTGGGAATGCTCTGCTTGCGACCTCCCGGCTCACAGTTTGCTTCTCAGGTCTCTGCCAGTCCCCGGGATGCCGCTGCCCGCAACCCGGAATTCCGCAGCTACCTCCCGGGGAAACTCGGCTGCCCCGCAGGGCAACCGCACTGGCCCAGGTGGGGGGACCGAGCCTGAGCCCACCTTGCTGCACGGCCGGGGCGGCACAGAGCCCCGACGGCTCCGGCTGCCGAAGTGCCGGTGCCCTGCCCGGCCAGGACCCCTGCTACCTCCGCCGCGGCGGGTACCGGGGGAGCGGGGAGGGGCGGAGGCGGTGGCGGGGGGGCCCGTCGGGGCGGGCAGGGCGGGAGGGAGGAGCCAGTGCGGGGGCTGAGCCTGGGCTGCGGGATGGGGCGGCAGTGAGGGTGGGCGGGTGTGCGCCGACGGGGCTCTCGCCCCGCAGCCCAGCCGAGCCGTGCCGAGCCGAACGGCGGCGAGCCCAGCTCCGCTCCCCGGTGATGCGCAGCGGCCGCGCCGCCTGACCCTCCTGCCCGCTGCCATGGCGGCCCCGACCCCCGGAGGGGCGGCGGGGGTCCCGGCGGGGCTGCGGGCCGCCGCCTGGCTGCTGGTGTGCGCCGTGCTGTGCCGGGGCCGCGCCGCCGCCTGCCCGCCGCTGTGCGCCTGCAGCGGCACCACGGTGGACTGCCACGGCTCGGCCCTGCGTGCCGTGCCCCGCAGCATCCCCCGCGGCACCGAGCGCCTGTGAGTACCGCCGGGCTTTGTCCGCCGCCGGCGGGCGTGCGGCGGCGCGGGTGCGGGAGCCCGGCGGGGCGCTGGGTCCGGGGGGCTTGTCCTGGGGTTGCGTGCCCAAAAGCGTGTGGGGAACCAGTGCGAGTGCCTCGCGAGGCTGCGTGGGCAAGAGCCCCGTGCGGGGTGCGGTGCGCGCTCAGGAGCCTGTCAGGAGTGTGTGCGGGAGCCCGTAAGGGGATGCGTGTGCAAGAAGCTGTCCGTGGCGGGGATGTGCAGCAGCCTTCTGGAGGGGTGTGCAAGTGCCCACAGTGTCTCTTAAGGGCAGTATTTGTGCAAATGCCAGTGGGGCCACAGCCGCCTGATGAAAAGGTGCATGTGGTGGGGTGGTGGGGTGGGTGATGCGCAGCGTCCCGCTACGCGCGGGGCTTGGGTGTGTATATGAGTGCCTATCCAGGGGGTGCGTGTGCAAGAGCTTGTTGTGTACGTGCATCATCCCCTCCGTGAGGGGTGTGCAATAGCCCGTCGAGATGGTGAGCAGTGCGTGTGAGAGCCTGCTGGGGCACAGTGTGTGTGCAAGCCTTTCCCTGTGGGAGAGGTGTGCAAGGGGTCCGGCATGAGCAAGAACCCGCGTGTGCCAGTCTGTGTGCAAGCATGTAGAGTGGGTTTGGGACTGGAGCTGTGCTTGAGGGGGTGGGTTGCTCCAGGGGGAGCCTTTGCACTGGGGCAAACCAGAATGGGCTGCTAGCCCCATGGCACCCACAGGCAGGTGTGACTTGACACAGGATACCCACACAGCTGGAGTAGAGTTCTCTGAGGGACCCTGTCACCCCAAGCCCCTACCCGTACTGGGCACCCCTTTGTCCCTGGGAAGCCTTCCTGGGAGTGCTGCACATGGTGCTAGGATCAGGTCCCGTTCCCCTCTTCTCCCCTTGGGACCTCCCCACGGTGTGCCCAGCCTCCAGCCAAGCACACAGCTTACCCGACCCCCCTAGTCCCCTGTGCCTGCACCTCACTGCTGATCAAAGCCCTTACCAGGTCCCTAGGGGTCATGGCGGGTGTCCCTGGCTCTCTTGGCTGGACTCCCATAGAGAAAGCTTTTCTCTCACAGTCATGGTCCAGCTGGCTGTGGGGGTCCTGTGTCACCCACTGAGCTCCCCCGAGCAGGATGGGTGCCTCTTTGCTGCTGATCCTGGCTGGGCAGGTTTACCTGCTTGGGATCCTGTGGCTGCAGGGGGTTCCCACCCCAAGGAGATCCGCATGAGCTGACCATGTCCAATCCACTGCAGGCAGCAGGTTCCTGGCATGCAGGTGTCCCCAGTCCCTGCAGCTGTCCCCAGCCTGCCCTCTCCACTCAGTAGCAGCAGGTGGCCCATCCCAGACTGCAATGGAGCACAGTGGCACAGTAGCCCTCTATCCCAAGCCCTGGGGCCAGGCTGTCCCTACATCTGTCTTGCAGTGCAGGGAAGTGTTGAGCTGCTGCCTCCTTGGGCAGGAGAGCTGAAGGATGCATCCTGGGAAGCTACACACGGGGCTCCTGGCCCCGTGCTGTGCTGCTTGGGGCTCCTGGAGTATGAATGTGCCCTTTGCTTGCAGCTGGGCAGAGACCATGCAGGCAGGGACTACAGGGAGGGACTGCAGGCAGCTTTGCAGCTGCCGAGGCTGCACCCAGCATGCAGCGCTGTGAGCTCTGTGGGATACCACTTCAGAGGAGTTTTCTCTTCTCCCACCATAATTATCCTCGTACAGATGATTATTACCCAGCACAGCAACCAGGCTGCTGTGTGCTGCCATCCCATAGACCCGGTTTCTGAGGTCTGAGACAGGATCCCCCTTTCCTCTGTACTCAGAGCAGGGGTAAGGTTTGTGTATAACCTGCTCCAGCCCTTTCTGTTTTCCAGAGAGCTCGGAGGGCTCCTCAGCATCAGCTTTCCATGCTGCTGTGTGCCAGGATGCTGGGGGAGTGTGTGCATTGAGCCCCCACCTCTGCCCGCCAGGCAGGTGCTCAGCACAGCTCAAATGAGGCAATGCTGGAGTGGGCTGATGGAGGATGCCCCTGGTGGGTGTCTCACTCCTGCCTTGGCAGGGCATTTCTCCCCCTCTGGCAGTGGGCCCTGTTTTCTGTCTCCTGTTCTGCCTCCACCGATCTAGTCCTCCATATCCATCACCACCCAGCAGGATTGGGTTTTCTGTATTTTCATGCAGCTGGCGATGCTGGATCTCCTGGCTGGGCTGAGCTAGTTATGCTGCTCTCCCATGGGTGTTGTCTGTTGGATAACTACTTCCCACTGTGTTGCACACCCTTGCAGGTGCTTGAGGGTGTCTGTGCAGAGCAGGTCTATGTCTGACAGTGAAATCCTGCTGTAACATCTCTTAAGTGAGTTTGAGTTCCCTGTAAAGAGGCTCCATCTCTCAGTCTCCAACTCCTCACCGCCTGATGGAGCGAGGTCAGCTAGCAACCACAGGAGCCTGCAGCAGGGTCTGTGCTCGGGACTTGCTCTCTCCAGGGCCAGGCTCTCTGTGGGAAGTCATCAGCCTCTTATCAGTGCTCTCCACTGCCTGCCTCTTTTCCCAAGCCTCAAGAAGCACAGCATGAGCAATGCCAATCTTGCCATGTATCCCACAGTGCCGGTGAGCATTGGTGTCCCTGCTGTTGTATTTCTCACCTGTTGCATGGCAGTGCAGTGTTTGGAGGCTCCAGGCTTTCTCCAGTCTCCCACCTAACCTCCAGTCAAACCCCTGGACAGGGCAGCACTGCTGCTGTAGCCATGCCTGCTGGTGCTGCCAAAGTCATTGTGGGGGCTCAGTCAGCAACGCCCTGTGGTTTCACTGCTTTTGAAATACGTCCTTTCCCTTTGAAGAGGGAATTATTTGCCTTGCAGAGTCACTGCAGCTTTGGAGAATCATGGGGTGGGGACAAATCGTCTTGTCTTCCGCTTCAGGGTTTCCTGGGAGCTGTGTCCCTGGTGCCACGCTGTTGGTTGAGGATAAGGGCTGCAGACGTGTCTAGGATAGAGCATGAGGGATGGCTGCATGGGGCGCGGGGGACACAGGACCCCCCATCCCTTGCACCAGGGCACGGCACATCGCTCCCTAAGTGCCTTCTAGTCTGCAACCCAACGTAAATGGGGGTTTATGCATCTCTGATTGAATCATGCACCTAGCAAAGAGGGTTTTGCTGCAGCAAGGTGGGAAACAGCAAAGTCTCTGGGCACTTTGCATGGCTGCGTGCCCTCCTGCCTACGCCTCTGGCAAGCACGATAGAGCCAGTCCTGAAGGCATCGTAGGCAAGATGGATGATAATCCTCCAGCACTACAGTGTTATCTGCTCCCAGGAGTCCCTCAGGCCTCAGCCACCAGAGAGAAGGGCACAGTTCTTGTCCCCGTTAGCTTGCTTTTCTTTCTTTCTTTCTTTCTTCCTTTGAACATGTCTCTGAAGAGCAGACTGCCCTGTCACAGAGGTGGGGCGATCTCCCCAAGCCAGCAGGATCAGTGCAGATTTGCCACTATCAAATGGCGGCTTCCAGTCCAGTTCTTTGCATGTGGGGGATGAATTGAGTGTCATGGTGTTGCACGTGCTCCTGCTTTTGAAGTTTTCAGCTGACAGCTGAGAATTGCCCTACTCACCCCTTTTGCCTCCTCTCCAGTGGGCTGAACATCCCCCATCTCACCATGGGCTGTGCAGTGCCCTTCTGCCCTGTATGAAGGGAGGCAGAGCTGGGTCTCCACACCCTTTGGCTCTGTTTTTTCCCTTTCAGGGTCCCTGGCCTCAGCATTTCATCAAGGCTTCTGTTTGCCTTGTTTCCAAAGTTGGGGTGTGCTTGTGCTGAAATAGGCCTCATCTAGGCTGCAGCCAGCTCTGCCACCCCCCTGTGTGCACTGGTGAAAAGAAGATGCACTGAGGTCTAGCCTTCGGGCATGGGAACACGATGCCAGGACAGCTGCACCTGAAGCACACTCACATGCTGCCCAACCATCCCCAGCCAAAATTCCAGCAGTGAGCTCTTGTTCAGAGCGTGTTTAATTCATTCACCTGCATCTACCTCTCACCAGTTAATCAAAATGTCTTGCAGCAGCAAGGCTGGTGTATTGCAGCAGCACTTGTGCATTCCACACCAGTTGTTGGGCTGCTGCTCCTTTCAGGGGCTTCAGGGAATGTTCATTCTTAGGAAGCACTTCGGGAGAGTCAACCTCTCCCTTTCCTGAAGTGCTCAGGCAAGTTTGCAGTGAGCAGAGTAGTTGTAGAGGCACTTTGCAGGTTTTGCAGAGTTCTGGGGCAGGACCTATATCCAGCCAGAGCAGTACTAGGCTGGCCCCGCTTCCCTCAGTTCTTGGGAGAGCCAGTGCTGGGCAGTGGGAGGATGTGGACTGGCTGGGGAAGGCAGCCTGCTCAGCCCGCTGCAGTGGCTTCCTTGGGAGCCTTCCTGGACAGAGGAAATTTGCAATTCTATTCCAATTTCTCCCTTCAGCTACGTCCAAGGCAGATGCTGTCTATATATCGCCATGGTAACGCTGCGTTCTCCCTCTCCATGGAATTGCATGCTGGAAAAATATTAGTTTAAAAAACTATGTCGTGTTTGTATTGACTGAAGTCGAGGCTGATAGCAGAGGATCTATTGTCCCCTGGTTGGGAAAAGTCACCAGTAACAGGCAATAAAGCTGGGTGGATTGGCCTCTGGTGACCACTTCTCACCCCACATAGCAATTGCTTCTCTATAAACCCTTCCCTGGCTCTGTTTTACTGCATCCTTTAAAACAGATATTTTTGCCTTAAATGTGCTGCCACTTTGCTCCTTCAGAGTGATGCACTGCTAACAGCAATTCCTCGCTGCTGAGGTGGGAGCAAGGAAGGGGAATTGTTTCCAGCTTTAATTCTGGGTCTCTTGTGTGCACCTTCAAACACTCTTGCTGCTGTCCCCAGAGCCTGCAGCTCCAGGGTGAGCTGGGCACAGTGGCAGTGGTGCCAGTGCAGGGTAGCACACAGGAACAGTCCAGTTACAGACTTGTTACAGGAT